AGATCGTTCCGATCATTGCGTCTCGATTAATTTCGAACCTGCTTTTGCCTGCCGTGCCATTATCAACAGACGGGATACCACATTTTCAAGAATCGCTCTCGTATATCTTGGGCTTTGTGGAGTACCTCGATGAGCTCGGCTGGTCAGGTCAGAATCGTCTAGCTGAATGGGTAGATAAATCTGCCGAGATATGGCTTGCTAAACAGAAAGAGGATGCCATCGCTCGAGTACAAACGATCTTTCCGAAGAAGGTGCAAGAAAAGAAGACTGTTGAACGGGTCGAGACGCAAGTCATCTCGAAGGGTGATGCTTTGCATGCTGGCAACGAACAAGAAGATGACTGGGCTGCTGATTGGGACGAGGAGGGTGATGTCGCAGAAGAGAAGAAGGAGACCATCGAAGAAGAAGATATGAGTGCTTGGGGTGAGGATGATGACGTGATCGGAGATGAACCAAAATTGCAAGAGGCCAAAGAAAAACCAGCTGATGCAGAGGATGCAGACGATTGGGGCGCGGATTGGGATGACGAGGCTGACACCAAACCCACCACAACGCCGAAGCCTGCAGCACATACAACGGAGCAACCGAATACGAACGGGAAACCTGCCTCTCAAAAACAGCCGGCGCATCAGGAGGTCACTCTTCGGGAGACATATACTGTGACAGCAATCCCAGATGCCATAATGGAGATAATCTTGCAGGTCATTGCAGAAGTAGACACGCTCAACTCACCCGAGCTGGTCAAGTCTGCAATCGCACCCGCAAGCGGGGGTCTATATGCGATTCCGAGTCTCTTGTTGGCAATGTACCGAGCTACTGCTGTGATGCATTACTCAAAAGATATCGCCAGTAACATGCTCATCTACAACGACTGCCAGCGACTATCAGATCGTCTGCGACTCTTTCTTCAAGAACAGGCTGAAAGAGATAAATCGTCTACATTGCCACAGCACTTGCGACCTTCCAAACGCCTCCAGCCGCTGATCGAATCTGACATCAAAACGATCGACGGATTTGGAAAGCGTGCATATGGACGCGAGATGGAGTCACAAAGACAAATCATTCGTGATCATCTTGAAGATGCGCAAGGCTTCCAAGGCTGTACGAACGTTCCGTTCGCTACGGTCTGTGATGACGCCATCGCTACGACGATAGATCGCATAGGTGATGTGAAGCGACAGTGGCAGAATGTCCTTTCACATAGCGCTCTACATCAGTCACTTGGCTCGTTGGTGTCAGCTGCTCTCACAAAGTTCATCAACGATGTCGAGGACATGTCAGATATTGCAGAAGATGAGTCGAGGAAGTTACATGGGTACTGTGTCTCGCTTGCTACTCTATCCCAACACTTCCAGACCGAGGATGGCAACGGAGAAACAAGAGACATGGCCGGTATCTATACGCCCAACTGGTTCAAGTTCCAGTACCTCAGCGAAATTCTGGACAGCAGCCTTGCGGACATCAAATACTTCTGGACGGACGGCGAGCTGAAGTTGGAGATGGAAGCTGAAGAGGTGATTGGATTGATCGAGGCTCTTTTCGCGCCTAGTGATCATCGGAGGAGAGCTATCGCTGAGATCAGGAGAACCAGTATGACTTAGTAATGACAATTCTCGTGAAGGAAACAACGCAGTTATCTTCCTCTTGAGCGCATGCGTAGTGCTATGGTGACAGATTGACCCTAGTTCCCAGCCAGTCTTCTGAAACACTAAAATATATGCTCGACTATCAGCTGGCTTTGATACTTTCTAGATAGATTTTTGACTACTAAGAAGACATCATATAATATCACGAGCGGAGGTTCACGAACGCCGACTGGCTGGCTTCTTCCGCGCTAACCGGATTCGAAAAAAAGTTCGAGATCCCAAAATTTCCTAAGCTTCGTAATTTCAACACCAATCAACATATACCGCCAAACCCGCCGACGCCATGGATATCGATGCCGCAGAGACCAAGGTGCAGATTCGCCTTACGACGCGCGATGCTGCTCTGCAGATTTCGGAGGAGCCGAACATTCTCTTGGTTCAAACATGTGAGTAGAACTACCGGAAGCCTAGTCGCATGTCGCGACCTCTAGCCATCTACTGCAGCACGGTCGCGCAGTAATGTGAGCCGTCGCGACTACATTGCCGTGGTTTCAGGCTACAAAACGCTGCGCAGTCCCTCTAGATTCAGAGCTAACGCAGATGTGCCCACAGCCTTGACTCGACACAAGCTTTCCACGCTTGTGAACGAACTCCTGCACCGCGATGACGGCAGTCGCATACCCTTTGACATCCTCATCAACGGCGAATTTCTCCGAACTACAATCGACGAATTCCTCACAAAGAACGGTATCAATGCCGAATCGACGCTGGACGTTGAGTACACGAGGGCTTTGGTGCCACCGCTAAACGTCACGAGCTTCGAACACGACGACTGGGTTTCGGCCGTGGATGTACTGTCAGGAGTGCAAAGTGGGCAAGAGAGGATATTGAGCGCGAGTTATGATGGACTGTTAAGAGTGTGGAATACCTCGGGCGATGTTTTGGCGACTTCGGAGGCTCCCAACAACGGTGGTCGAATTACAAGCTTGAAGACGGCTAAGTGGTTATCGGAGAAGAAGATGGTCGCTGCGGGGCTGGACAACACTGTCCGTGTCTACAAGTACGACGATGATGCGAGGACCATCACTACCGCTCTCGAGCTGTTCAACCACCGCTGGGGTGTAGAAGACGTCGCAGTCCATGCGCCTTCGAGCCGCATCCTTTCCGCATCCTCGGATACCACTATTTCGCTGTTCTCAAGCAACGCAAAGGAGAACCCCGTCGCGCCGGTGAACTTCCTGCCTAGTTCAACGGCTGCGTCGAACAAGCGACAGAAGCTTTCAAAGCCCGATCGCACGGTCCCCGCTCGCGGAGCACTGGCTACATTCAGCGGTCACACTTCGCCGGTATCTAGCGTCATCTTCAAACCAGACGATGCTACAGTCGCATACTCGGCATCTCACGACCACACACTCAAAACCTGGGATCTGCCTACCCAATCATGCGTTGATACCCGAACAACCGGTCACTCGCTTCTCTCCCTATGCGCCATCCCCTCCCGAAACCTGTTAGCAACCGGTACCTCAGCACGACACATCACATTGGTCGATCCCCGCGCTTCCGCTACGCAAATCAGTGTCATGACACTACGAGGCCACAAGAACGGAGTTGTTTCGCTAGACACAGATCCGTCTTCCGAATACAACCTGGCGTCTGGTTCGCATGACGGAACAGTGCAGATCTGGGATCTCAGGAATGTTAGCACGGGTGGACAGGTTGGAGAAGGAATGACTGGTGAGAGCGTGTACACAATCTACAGGCAAGGACGCGAGTCTGCCAAGAGCCATGGCGAGGGCGCGAAGGTCTTCAGCGTAAGATGGGATAGCGCAGTGGGTATTGTCTCGGGTGGTGAGGATAAGAAGGTGCAGATTAACCGCGCTCTCGGCTCGTAAGAGTTGAACGTTTTTGCTGGTAGAAGTGCCATCGTATGGGTGTTTGGGCGCATATCGTAGATACCATTTTGGCTAGGGAAAAGTGTAGCTTCAATTCTTGAACGCGTTGCCCTCCATCAACGTTTTATGTAGCTCGTATGATGCTTCTGCAAGCAGCGCGGGCCGCGAGGACCTAGATTCTGTGCAGTAGAATGCATTCCCCCGTATGTGTGTGAACGTAATCAAAAGGGTATCACGTAACCGCTCCCACCAGGCAGCCCCAGTCCTCTCTTTCAGTCCCCATTCTCCTCTATTGGCGCACAGCATTCATCCTATGCCCACGGCATCACAGTGTTGTACACCCTCTTCAGCCCAAGTCTACCATAGACTGCCAGTCGCGCTTGTAGTTGTTCGATAGACGCAGCTTTCACTTTTACCTCGTTGTCTAACCCAGAGACGCCATCTCAGCCGTCCCAGCTCATACCAAATGTCCCGGCAACAAGAAATTCGCAACCCCCTCTTTGACCGCATACTCATGCTCACACGCGCCGCAAACCAGCTTGCCCTCTTGTATGCACGTCTCAAGCAATATCCTGTGTAGATCCTTCGCTGTCTGGCTGGGTTCCTCTTCTATCTCTTCCGTCGCAGTCGCAGGTGTCGCATCCGTGGTATCTAACGCTGAAGCGGAGGAAGAGGAAGGTTCGACGAGATCGGCGGGCGTGGGTGCTGTTGCGGGGAGTTCAGAGAGACCAAGCTAGCGTTTACACATACGTCAGCGTCCTATTCAAAAGTTCTCTCTTTGGAGACACAATGCGCATGTGTTTCGCGCCTGGTGGGTGTTGTCTTGTTCGCGTACCTCGCTGCATATCCCCCTCAATTCATCCCACATGATCCTTGATAGTATGTTTTTGAGAAAGGCGAGGTTGACGTCTGCTTCTACGATTTCGAGTTCGGCATCGCGGGGGTGGAGGGGGAAGGACGCGGGGTTGGTTTTGCAGGTTTTGATGGCGCATGTGAGGAAGTTGAGGGTGAGGAGCTTCATTTTGTGGGTTTTGTTACAGAAGTCGGGTTGGATTCGGCGCTTTCGAGTTATGTAGGTTTGTTGTGGAATGGGTGGTTTTGGCGGATGCGTTTGGGGTTGGACGCTTTGCGACAAATAATTTTTGGCCGCGGGAACGCTGTCTCCCAGTCCCAGCCCCGTGGAGCCAATCAGAGCCTCGCCGGCAGGGGTCTTTCCCGGTTAGGCAGGTATGAGAAAACCATTGATCGCGGCAGGGAGGGCACTGTGGAGACCCAGCTTCCTGTAGGCCCAATCAAAGCTGTTAGGCAGGGCCAGAGACGCTAATGCAGGGCTCTGGATTTAACATTCGTCATGCCGCTTTCCCACTGCTTCGACGAGAGATTCGCGGTTTATTATTCTTTGTCTGCACTGTAAATATGCGAAGACCTAACTCAATTTTGTCGCAATTAAGCTCGTAGAATGGCCATTGCAATGCTTACACCATCTCTCTATAGGCTGGCGGTCTGACAACAAACATCCAATTCACCACTTGCCCACATCCTCCAACACCAGATCCGTCGCCCGCTCACTCAACAAAAACGTGCTAACCGCCGGGAACGCACCCGGACATCTAGGAAATGCACTCGCATCTACCACCCGCAGCCCTTCGACCCCTCTGACCCTCAGCCTCGTGTCCAACACAGCCATAGGATCAGAATCTGGGCCGACCTTGTTCGTGCTTGTGGGATGGTGACCAAAGACTTGGTCGTGAATCCACTCCCTATCGATCTGCACGTCACGGCAATAGCCCGTCTCGAGGATATCAGCAGGCGGACACGGTGGAGAGACGGGCGTTACAGGGCCGACCGGTGCTTCTGTGGAAGCAAATGCTCTACGGACGAAAGCGACGGTGTCAAGCATGGCGTTTAAATCTGTTTCTGCGCCCTCGGCGAAGTAGTTCAGGTTCACTTCTGGTGTGTCTACCGGGTCGGCTGATCGGATCTGGACGTATCCGGCAGTGTTCTGGGGATGAATCTTGACGGTGGACCAAGAGAATGTTGTGGGAGGGTAGCGCGTGGTGTTCTGAGACGTCGGCGGCGCAAATCCTGTAAAGGAGCCACCCGTGAAGCCGAACATCAGCTCGTCTCTTTCGCCTTCGACCGCATGGGCTGTCTTGAGGAGGAACGCGTTGGAGTTTGTGCCGCCGCGCGCGTAGGGTCCTTGGCCATTGTACCAAAGTTCGATACATGGATCGCCGGGTGATCCGTTTGTGCATTTCGGTGCATTGGGATCAGGTGTCTTTGCGAAGCTGATTTGGGCGTTCCCGTAAATGGGTACCTCGTAGTTGTCCTGTAGGTTGCGGCCCACACCTGGTAAGTCGGAGATTACGGGGATGTTGTACTTCTCGAGAAGGCTTTTGGGTCCGATGCCAGAGAGCTGTAGGATCTGCGGCGAGTTGAAGGCACCACCAGCTACGATAACTTCTTTTCGAGCGAAAGCTTGGTGCAGTGTACCGGTGGTGGAAGTGTTACGACGTGGGTCGGCCTTGTATACGGATTTGCCTTGCAAGTATTCGACTCCAATGGCTCGCGGCTTTGTGCCATTACCACTGCATTCATCGAATAGTACCTTTGTGGTCAGAGACTCGAGCTGGAGATGTAGCGGGTACATTAGCGTTCCATTCGAATTTGTCAGATTGCGCATTTCCAGGATACGGTCGCGTGGGCTGAAGCGCTTCCAGTTGGGTGTGACATGGAATGGCAGTGACGACAGGCCCTCTGTCTGGTCACGCATTGGGTCGAGATAGTTTGCATCACTGGTGAGGTAGTCCAGTACCTTTTCTGGGTCTTTTCCAACCAATTTCAGCCCAGCTTGGAAGACCTTGAAGCGGAGTGCTTCGGTCGCATGGGTAGCTCGATCAGCGATGTTCGTCTGTAGCCAGCCTGTAAAGCCGTGACCAGGAGTACCGGGTTCGAGATAGTTGTTATGCTCGATTTTCTCAAAGTACTTTCGCATCAATTCGCCACTGCCTGAATGTTGGTACTATCTTGAGAGACGAAATACGTTGGCGGCTTACCTCCAGATGCCATCTTCAACGCCCTTGTCAAAGAAGTCCCAATCGCTGTCGCTTGGCAGGAATGTCGCAGCCGCGTTGATGATCGCACTCCCGCCCAAAGTAGCCTACGTTGCAGGGTATACAGTCAGTAAACCCATCACATGCAGTTCGTAAGGGGAGGATGTCACTTACACCTCTAGGATAGAAAACGCCCAATATCTCAGCGCCTATATGTCCCTCAACACTGGGATCTTTCCCAACCCAATCTATCACTGACATTAGCAAGACAGGCTCAGGTAATTTCTATCGATATCTCAACTTACACTCTCCATTTTTCAACCTCCAAACCAACAGGTTATACCTCTTCAATCTCTCCTCGTCATCACTATGCTTGACGAAGAAATGCCACGCTACATTCGTATTGGAGAAGTCATTCAGCGCGAGCACTTGGGTGCGGATATCAAACGAAGCGTCTGATCCAGCCTCGATCAACAGAACGGAGTGTCCAGCAAGAGCGAGATTGGTGGCGATTGTACCGCCTCCTGGACCGCTACCGGTGACGATATAGTCGTACGTGTTTGAAGTGTTGGAGGAAACCTGTGGTGGAATGCAAGAAGCCTGGTGCAGAGGGGATGCTGACGCGAGAACTGGGAGTAAGAAGAGCGGAATTGTAGGTAGTCTCATGATGGAATACGTGTAGAAGTTAGCAGTTCGTTTCCAGGATGTCACCGTAATCTTGTCAGTTCTTGTATACTCCCAGCTGCCTGGTCAGATCTGGCTTCCTTGCTTCTGTGTTGAGATGCAAGATCTAGCATTGCGATCAGCGAAAGTGGCCTGCATCTTTAACCGGCATGTCATGCTGTGAAAAGCCGTCTTGGAAACCGGTGTTGTGTATCAATCGGTGCGAATGGATCCAATCACAATCTGCACTCTACGTCTAACTTCCGGTGCCATGACCCCGGCTGTACTCCGGTGCGGGGAGATGATCGGATTGAGTACCTGCATACGCCATGTTACACAATAAGCCAATGACGACCAGCGTGGTTGATTAGTACACGCTCAGCTCCGAGCTGCCTATAGTAGAACGAGTGTACGTATCTCGGCATTGAAGCTGATGGTGACCAAGCAGGGCGCTGTATGAATAAGCCTCTCACTACTGGACCCTTTGCTGAGCCCTGCAGATTTAAGGTTTTGATAGCAAGCCGGGCTGTTGTTTCCGGTATGGGTCTTCGGAAAATGCCTTGGCGCACAGGAAGTCACTATCGAATGATCAACGCTGCTCCACTAAAGTCACAGAGTGCGGCAACTGCGCGGAAGTCAAAATCTGGGCATATGCCGATGCGAGGGAAGACTGGGATTCGAGGCCCAGAACGTATCCCCCGGCCAATGACATGGTATGATTCTTGTTCATATTACATGTCGTACTCTATCGCCAGTACTATCTTCCTCATGTCAGACGGAAAAATGCTGCCGTGGGTGCTTCGTCAAAATCGTTATTAACGCGTCCAAACCCACTACTGGAAGCTCTTCAATAGCTCCGACAGCTGCGCATAGGTATCGTCTGGGTTCTTGACCTTGTGTCCGATAGTCCGCTCGTCGCTGTAGATCTCCCAGTCGTTTCCACCCTCGTAAGCCTTGTCGCCAAAGAAGTGGATCTTGTCGTAGACGACACCAGAGAGGCCCTTCTCCGCCTCGATGTGTCGCAGGCAGTAGGTCTTATCCCAGCCAGTAGGGAATACGTCGAACGAGATTTGACCACCGATGGAGTATGTGAGGCCAGAGTCGGGGAATGCTTCCTTGAGCTTGGCGACCATGGTTTCCCTGACTTTGTGCTCGAGATCGTACTTTTGGTATTCGTTTCGCTCTTCGGTGGAGGCGTTACGGCCGATGGGGGAGACGTTGATCATGCCGTTGCGGAACTCGATGAAAGTACCGCGCTTGATGGGGATGTCGAGATCAGCGATGTAGTGAAGGATCCTAGAACCAATGTTAGCAATGCCCCGCAACCTGCTGTATCGACGTACCACTTGGTCAATTCCTTGTATTTGTCCTCGCCAATCCACGCGATGAAGCTCTGGCTAGCCAGGACCTTGCCCATGCGGATGGCAGTGAGACCGTTCTCGGCGAAGCAGAAGTCGAATAGCGAGGTAACGTCTACAGGACCGCCGAGCTGTTCTTGTTGCTTGACGAGGTTGGAGCCGCCAACGAAACCGATGGCGCACTTGTGACGGACCTCGGAAAGGAGCTGCAGCATCTGCGGAGTGACGAGCTGCAACGGTGTTAGAGAAGCATCGCTGAGCGTACATCGAGTGGACACACTTGACGGGGCTTTGTGAGTGTGTCGTCGACATCGAACAGGAGGACCGTGTTCTTGACCGGGCGCTGGTCGAGCGGGGGATAGACAGCTGCGGCGGCGGCCATGGTGGAGGTCTACTTGCGAGTCTCGAATTAACAGGTATGCGGACAAACAAAGCTCAATTGGGACGGTGGAAGATCGTCAGAATAGTCAGAGGTGTAGCAAAGCAGGGGCCGACTATCCTGATATATTTCGGAGGGGTTCCTGCAGGGATGGCTGCGCCTCACCGCAGTTTCGCGGTTGGCACGCGTGGGGTTGGCCTAGTGCGTGTCTGGACCCTGACTTAGTTTGAACCGCACATGGTATCTGTTGAGTAAGGCCATGTCTGAATGGTGACATGTGTCCATTGTCCATATGCCTGCATTATTGGCGTTTTACACTGTATCGCAAGATCATAGACGCGCAACACTGAGTATAGACGCGTGAGCTGAGCATAGACGCGTAAGGATGAGCCACGACATGGTTGACAAAAGCGGAATGGCTTCCGCGCCCTGCGTTCCATGTGCAAACTGACAAGTCTGAATACGAAGAGAACACATAAACACACCGCAAATCCTCTAAACACGTATTCAACTTCGTCCCAAGTTTCCAAAATGTCTAAGAATAGCTTGTTCATTTGAGAATACTCTGTCAATGTCTAGGTTACGGTCGATGTAGTAACATCTTCTGCATGTTCATGTCACACGCCGACTTCCTCTGCCAGCCCCCTCCATCGTCCCTTTCGCATCCCTGAAGGTAGCGCTAGCAACACACTTCGGAGAGAGTCCTCCTCATATTCAAGCCTCTCTAGCGTGACTGCCTGCAAGATATAGTTCGCAATCGTGTTATTCGAGAGCGGCGGATCTCGCAAGATCGCCGCCATTTTCTCGACTGGGAGCTTCTGGTAGTGCCACATGTGATAAGCGCGGAGGTGTGTCACAGTTGCGCGTATACGTGAGGGTATTGTTGAAGTAGGCGATGGAATAGTAACTTGAAGATGTTCCTGTGCCCATGTCGTCGCCAAGTTGTACTCAGGCGTTCGTGATGACTCATTGAGTAGGCCGATATTTGATTGCGGAGCTGGTGTTGGCTCGGCGGATTCAGCAACATCGAGGGAAACATGGTTGAGACCTGGTGGATCAGCCACTTTGGTAGCATTAGGAGCTTGAACAGTTGCTGGATGGGTAGGTAGTACTGACTGCGTTCCCAGATCGTCTTGGCTTATGGTAGGTGGCGGGCTAGTATGCTCTGATGCTGCATCGTTCCCGTCCTGGATAAGCTTCCCACTTTCGTCCAGACTCATGCGTCTAAGCGCATCCTCAAGTTCTGGGTCTGCATATTCATCATCGCTATCGTTCTGCTCCCGGCGTGAAATACCATGGCCTTGATTCTCCATCTGCATGGCAACCTCATCTTTGGAAGACCCAGTAGACTGTGGGTCCATGTCCTCTTCCTGCGTTGTCTTGGGCAGCTCAGGGTATCCGGGGTCGGTGTTTTGGAGCCAGGAAAGGCTCACACGGCCAATTCGCTTTTGTGCAGAGACTCCACTTTCTTCAAGACTGTCCGAATCGAGCTTCACCACAGCCTCAGCAGCAGAGGCCTTCAAGCCATTCACGGTCGCAGCTTTTCGTGTTTCATTTGGTTCGTCTTCGAGCTCATGACTGTCGGTAAATTCCTCCGTCGCGGTCTCATACCCTTCCGCGTCTTCCTCGTCTTCTTGTTGCTCTTCTGTCACGTCGATTGACGGCTTCGCAACTACGTCCGCTGCATCGTCGGACTTGGTAGCTGTCTTTACCCTTTTGCGAGGCACCTTTGGCCTGGGAGTAGGCTTGTTGTCGAAGTCGCAAAGGGCCACTGGAGGAGGGGCTGGCTTCATCCGTGTCCTCTTCCATTCAAGCATGTGATAAAGACGAAAGCCAGCATATGCATCGGCAGCTGCGTAGTGTATCTGTTGCAGATCCAAAGGCAGACTCCAGTCACTTTCTCTGACGCTGGAGGTTGTATCTGGATCGTCGACTAGCCGCTCTCCTTTGTACAGTGGCAGTTGGAGGTGCTGCAGCACCTGAGAAGCGAGTTTCACGAGTCTGTTTGACACTTTGCTAGGCTCGACCTCATACCATTCAACTAGATTGTGCAAGCGACTTAGCTCGAAGACACCTTGAGATTGGATGTTGAGGTACTTTTCCAGGCGCTTGAAGTCTCCTTTGATAGCCACACCTACCTTGTAGATATTGGGTGACTCTAGAACAGCCCTCAGACTGGGTGGCATCAGCTGCTCGATTGTCTTCCCAGAGAACAGCGACACATGGAAGAGTGCGATACGATCTTCGCACGCGAGCTGGATCAACGACGCATTCTGCTTAATGGAATATGGGTTTCCGCGAGGCTTCCACTCAATGTCGAAGCCCACCACCTTCTCTTGTAAGAAGTATTTGGCCACCCTTTCAGCAACGTCGAAAGACTTGCAATAATGGGTCGAGATCGCTTCGCCGTCAGGCCCTTGGTATAGCTTCGCACTCCAATAACTATCACGAGTTTGGGGAGTGGCAAGCATTGCAGCACGCAGCTTTTCCTCTGGGATCTGATAGGTAAGAGAGACGTGTTCATCTACGTCTTCGTCGTCCTTGGCTTCCAACTCTCCTTCGGACGAGAGGTCGCTAGCGTCTGTATTCCCCGAGACATGTCCCGTACTAGCTTCTCCATCCTGTCCGACAGCATCGCCTGCTTCATTATGGGTGTGTGGGGAGGAGTTATCGGTAGGGGCTGCCGCAGCCACTTCGTCCTGAGGTGAGGATTCGGTCTCTGTAGCTTCAGATATATCCGGCTTGGGCGCCTCAGCTGTCGCTGTTGTCGCAAAGCGCAGTCCGTGAGCTGGATTCCATAGTCCCACCCGCTGGAATCGGTCAGCGCCCAGTGTTGGAGCCGTCTCAGCCAGTCGTACGTGTAACGCAGCCGAGGCCTGACGTATTGGACGATGGTCCCGGGCCATGGAGGTTGATTCTGTAGAAGTCGGCTGGCTAGCAGGAGATTGTAGCCCCGGGATGGGAGTCTTATGAATTCGTCTAGGGAAGTTGTCGCTTCGAGGAACGGGCCGTCCCCGCTTCCATCGGCAGGTCGAGGTGGGTGAGGTGGTAGGTGTCGAGCGTAATGGGGTAGTGTGCATCGCTCTGAGTATATGAGGATACTGTGTATGGCGCTCTACGAAGAAGGCGTAGCTAGGCGGCTCATGGCAAACACGCCGCGGGGCATCTGACGCGCTCAGCAGAAAGGCGCGTCGACGGTAGAGCATAACACTCCATGGTGGTGCACCCAATAGGCACCGGCAGGAGGAGATGGTCGCCACGGGTGCGAGTCGATTGTGTGGACAAGGACGTCTGCTGCCTGTTGTGGCGCGAGCACTGGTTGGCTAGCGCGGCCTGTGGCAGATGCGGTGGTCTTGAACGCCAAGATATCAAGCCCACCTGGGCAATCACCACCTTGATTGCACCGACACCTCAAACGCGAGTTGCATTCAACGACCGAAGCTCAGCTCACAACAAACCACGTCGCCATGTCGCTCGAGAATCTTCTTCCGCTAGGTGCGTCTCTGTCCGACCGGGTGTTGGTTCATGACTAAATTGCCGCAGAGCTCATCGACAAGTGCGTGGGTTCGCAGATCTGGGTCATCATGAACGGCGGGAAAGAATTCACTGGAAAGCTGGTCGGTTTCGACGACTACGTCAGTGAGTACATCTGGGAAGTCGGGAGATGGAACTATTCTAACAGACACAGACATGGTGCTGGAGAATGTGACGGAGATGTGCGTGTTTCCTAGGTTTTTTGCATGTTTGACATGGACACGTCCGACTGACACGATGGCAGTGACCCAGCCGAGGGGAACGTCGAGCTGCCCAAAATTCTACTGAACGGCAACAACATCTGCATGGTATGAAACAGGCTGTTTCGTTTGGCGCCATTACTGACAGCTCCAGATGGTGCCGGGAGGCGATGGGCAAACTGTACTGGAGGACGAGTAGGGCCGATGCGAAGCAGCATCGTATGATTTCAAACCACATTGCGACAACGACGACACGGCCACGACTGCGGTTGGTGCGCCTAGCCCGGCATGGTCAGTTACCGAGAAACACAGCGACGTCAGTAAAAGGGTGACGAGCCGTCGGTCGCGATGATCACGCTGGGAGAGATTCGAGGCGGTTCTGATGACACGCGCAGGGTCTAGAATGCCATGACCTTGGACCTTGAGATGAGACATAGCGCAATGGAATATCATGGATGTGCATGTGCCCGCCTGTCATGTCACGTGCGTGCAATGGCCAAGAAACCTTGGAAACGTCGTTCCGCTCCGCTGGCGATGACGCTTGGGCGGAGGTGGATGCCCAGGGGCCCTGTCCGCCCCTGGCAGCACAGCGATCGGCCAGCTGGAGCCATGACGGCTACAGTAACCTACTGACAAAACTTGGAACTGATGAGACTCGGGGGACGATGGACTACAGGGCGCCGCCGCGTGCTGAGCGACTGGATCCAGAATTTTCCATCGCCGATGCAGCCCGTCCCGGGCTTTGAAGGGTCTGCTGTTCGTTCGTACACGACGCCGCCAGCTGCGTCGCATCGCAGATCGAGTGTCTGGTAGTCGCTTAGCTGACGTCGGGAGGCCGTCTGCTCGGCTATACAGCGGTGTTTGCAATGGCAATAGCCATGGCTTCAGCATGACGCAAGGCACCTGCGCTGCGCTGTGGCAAGTCTCTGCAAGTGTCTGGCAGCCTGGCGCACGGCACGAGTGCGATGGGCATCTGGGAGTTTCCATGGTTGTTACGAGATTGCAATTACGGTCAGCGTGTATTGGCAGCGCACATGGCAGCCCAGGACGTCGCCGGCTCATGCGAACCGGCCCTACTGTAGGTACCGGCGTTTCGTCGATCGTGCCTCTGCGTGAGATGTTCTGTAGACTTGACAGCATCACCCGCTGCCCGCACGCCTCGCAGCCTATCAGCCCACGTCATCGCCAGGACAAGATTCCGCATCAGTGAGCTCCCCGTCCGGAAGACGTGGCTGGAGCGTTCGCTCGCACCGTGGCCCCCCTGGCCGCCCTCTGCCTGTCTGTTCCGCCGATCGCCTGCTCTGATCTCGAGAGCCCTGGCCCTAGGTGTTGCTGCACAGTCACACGTCCTTATTTTCTGGCTCCCAGACTCTTGTTTTTGCAAACCCCATCGTCCCATCATCAGCGTCATCCCTCGTCCACGCCGTCCGCTTCTGCTCCGCCCCTGCGCCAATTGCAACGCCCGCGATGATTGCGCCGAATCTTGCCTACTGCTAGCCCTGTCCCTCTGCCCTGGGCCTGTCCTGCACCGCTCTCGCCCGGAACTGCCTGCTCTCACCGCAAACCCAGGCCTCGTGCGACTCTGCTCAGCGCGCACCACCGCTTGGGACGCGCCAAATGAGCTCCGGCCGCTTGCTGACTCTCGACGGCCGTTGTCCTGGCCGCGTACCTACTAGGCTGCGTCCGCTGTCTTCACCACTACAGTAGCCGAGACGCTCCCTCCCTGCCCCTACCACAGCATAATCACAGAATTCTGCTGATCGGTCCGGGACCCACCTACCCCAAACCCAACGTTAGGCGCCACCACATATGGATGCACCTTAGTCGTTGACTGCTCCTTCTCTTGCTCTTCTCTGCGCATTTGCGCCCTGCAACACTTTGACCCCTACGCGGATTTTCGTTACGAGTCGATCCGCCACACTCGTCGTGCCGCACCAATCACGTAGCCACCCCACGACCCAGACATTTCCTATTTGATCCCTGTACACTAGTTCCGCTATACTCGAGCCCGCTCGATCACGCTCGATTCCCACCCCGTTGCCACTAGTGCTCTAATTCTCTACGACACACCAAGTCCTCTCTGGCCCGCGCTGTTCGAGAGTTGGTCGCTACACCACACCGCCCAGTCCACGCGCTCACGCCCTCCTACATGAGCGACTTGAGAGAACGTCTCGCGCGATTGGGACTGTCCCAGTACCACGAAGTGTTCACAGCCGAAGGCTTCGACACTTGGGAGACTGTGCTCGACATTACAGAATCAGACTTGTGCGCAATGGCTCCACCCCTACCTACCCAACCCGCCCCTGCTTACTGTTCCGTAGAAGTTCCCTCAACGTCAAGCTTGGCCATCGTCGGGTATGTCACTATCCTGCGACGTTACCACCAGCAACAACTGACCTCTTCGTAGAAACTTCAACGGGCCATCGCCGAATCGCGCGGACAGTCTTCGGATAGGCCTCTGCCCATCAATCTTGCACGAGCCGGGAGCACTGCCGGCTCGTATCGCAGTGACGACTCGGGGCCAGAGAGCAAAAGCAAGCAGCCAGAGCCCACCAATACTGCACCGAATGGAACAGGGGCCAAGCGGAAGTACCGTCGACATCCCAAGGTAGCCCACTCTGCAGATCCCGTCTGTCGTGCAACATCGCTAACCCAACGCAGCCTGATGAACATGCACCAGAACGTCCACCCTCCGCTTACGTCATATTTTCCAATCGTAAGTCTGGTCTCTGGCGCAACGTGATCACGACTAATCCGCAACAGAGGTGCGAGAGTCACTCAAGGGACAAGATCTTACCTTCACCGAGATTGCCAAGGTAGTTGGTGAGAAATGGCAAGTCTTGCCTGCCGAGGAACGCGAAGGCTGTGAACGACAGGCCAATGGTGCCAAAGAGAAGTACTATGCAGAGCTGGCTGAGTACAAGAAGACGCCCTATTTCGAGGCGTACCAGAAGTATCTCGAAGATTTCAAGTCGAAGCACTCAGTGCCCACTAAAGGTCTGTCCACAGCTTCTGTCGCTATGTACCACAACGTATTGACATGTGCAGAAGGCAAACGCTCAAAAATCGAAACCGAAACCAGCACTTCAACACGAGGAGGTAGCAATGAACAGGCCGACCCACCAGCAAATAGAAGATTGAGTTCTATTCAGTCTGATGCCCAAACAGCATTACAACAGAAACCGGATTCCACTCAACCTGTCCCCCCTTCACGGCTTCCACCTGGCCCAGTCTACCCTTCGAACTCGGCATCGCCGGCCAATATTCCTCTTTCTGGCTTCAACTCCCCCCGTTCGGGCGAACAATTCTCCCCCACTTCTGCATCTCCACGGACCACGGCCTTGCAAAGAGATGGCGGTGTCTATGACCCATCCGTACCCTCTTCCATTCGAGACACGAGGATTCCCTTCGATGCCAATCCATACCATCAGCCCTCTGCATACAACTTGGACCTCCACCAAAAAATTGCATCGACGCCACCACCTCCATATCCCCACCCAAATCACTATCAGGGGCCTAACGACATGCTTTCTCGTAGGACTCCGCGCGACTCCGCGCGTCTCCCCCCTCTCAGCCACGAAGATACAACATTATCGTCTGAGAGTGGTCACAGCAATCAAGGATCTCAAGGGTACACCTTGTCGGCTTATCCTGGGCAGACATTACCTGCAGATCCGAGCAAGACAATGCGCATGCTTCCCCAGCCAGTGCCCAGTATAGCACCCCTAGCTTCACCACTGGATCGGCCGATACCGCCCATGCCATCATCACACCTCTCGCATAATCCCCATGACTATCGCAATCAGGGGTCACTTGCAGTCCTCGTAAGAGCAGGAGAACTGGCATCAAGAGCAGCGGACGACGATATGGTCGAGACCGAGAGCTCACCTTGATTCTTTTTTGAACGCTATACCAATATTACAGTACATGATTCGGCATGAGCAGTCCGCATAGCCCGTTCCAGTGGGCAGTGCATACCGCATGCGACTACAAGCTGTTTCGCTGCGAGACGTCAGCAACGACATGACTGCCATTCGTGTACCGCGCATCAGCCAAGTGAGCATGCGCGGGGACGTTTTACGTTTTCATATGTTATTTGCTATTTCGAGATGATACCCCAACGCAACCAGTCCACTTATCGGCCTATCGAATACCAAGTGATTATACGGAGGATGGATCCCTGCCTCAAGGATTGAAGTGTTGGAGATGAACTACGGGCCCTTCTAAGTCCGCAACGCATGCGCCGTTCGGATGAATGCTACGTGCATACAGAGAAGCCTGTCCTGACACGGTAGAGCTGCGGAAAGCTCAGCCTCCACGGTTTATGCCGTGAGGATGCACGAAGCTCTGCGTGTGGAGCGTGTGTGCAGGGGCAAGGAAGGCGTGTAGGATGTACATAGGAAATCTAGATCTATTCGCTTGAACGACACTGCCTACTTCGCCATCCATCTCGAACACCTGTACATGGACAGCTCGTCGAAACGGCAGTCTGGATTATTCCATCAACTGCATGATGTGGTGTGATTGGCAGTCAGTCTGGTCTGGGATCAAGAAGCGCATCAGTCGTGCAAGGCGGTAACAATGTTCGCATATGGCGGATTCGATAGCGTCCAATGGAAAACATGCACCCGATAGCAGCTAACTCGCCGCTACAGCCTGCAGCCAGAGCTAGGGATACAGTACATGTGCGCAAGTGGATCTTTTTCGGTCAATTGGCCCGAGCGACATCGAGATCATGCGCTTGGCGTGGCGTGTTGAGTGGATTTTGGGGGTTTTATCCATGTCTGCCAACATCGAGGATTTGGCATGCTAATCTGGCACCGCATGGCCAGGGTTTGAGCAAACCCACAGTAATCACGTGGCAGATGCTACGATGTCCCGCGACAATATAAATCGTCGGTATTTTATGCCGGCGCGCTCGCAGATCGACGGCAAGCCGAGTCAATGGAGTAAGCCCACCCACACAAACCACAAGCCTCCCGACATGGCAGGCAGCAGGACCCCCAATCTGCAATAAAACCAGGTCTCACAAACGCATTTGTCGATGTTCGTTCGCAAGGCGCTCGCTCGGATACAGGGTCGATCACCGAGACCCTAGTCTGTCCATCTGCCGCGTACAGCGCTCTGCATGCCCCCCCGCGGCATTAGCCCTTCCACGGAGTAAGACAATACATCTTCCGATATTTCACAATGAGAAAACAGCTGATTATGTGTTGCCTGATTCTCGCATCCGCATGCATCCTGACATGGTAAAATTAGCACTTCGGCACGTCGTTTCGAAAAGGCAAAGATAAACCGCAAGGGTGTACTAGACATCTGTGCATTATGCAGGTGCTGTGGAGTAAACAAGTTGCAGCTCGTCTGACCAGTGGAAGTTAGTCGAGCCAGATATTTGGAACGAGGGATCATGCCATTGCCGCGAAAGAGGGTCCTGCAGACACAGACGTTGGCTGTGGGCTCCGTGGAGCAGTTGTTCTGATCATTATGACGTCCGCGGAGCGTGAACAGGACAGGTCGGCAGCCGAGTCTGTCTGGATCGGTATGCTGGACTGGAAATCGGCCCGCATCTACACATTTCTTCAATTTGCTCTCATGTTGATAACACGGTTACGTCAAATGGTATACGGTTGCTTTTCTTGGCTTCGCATGCTGATCATGAATGCCTAAGTCACTATCCCAAACCTTTGCATCGCTTCAAGCTTCTAGATTGTGAAGCTGGTAACACCCGAATGCACGTCGAGAAAGCCTCGCTTCAGTGTCTGGATGTCGCCAAACACGCAGCTGCAATGTGTCAGGTTCACAGGGGTTCGCAAGGTCGTCGCTGCCCAGGTGTAGCCGACCTAACCTAGTGGCGCTTGTGACATTCGATGGATACAACAAAGCCACCCAAAGCATCTACACTGTACTACTAGCGTAAGTAGAGAAGAGACCCTGCCGTACTTCAGACTCCCCAAGCATTGGACCCGCAACTTGCGTGGCAGTTGGTATGTAGGTATCTTGTAGAACGCGAGGCCCAATCCTTATCATCGTATCGAGCTACTTGTACCCCAAGCCTTTTTATTTCCTTAAATTACTATGTAGGTGTAGTTCAAAGGCAAACAATTCCGAGGTTGCTACTTCCCAGCTAGCACATCGTAGTGTCACACAGGCAGGAACGAGCCAATCAGAGCTACATCCACCCTTGCCGATCTCCCGTTCCAGTACAACGACTCAATTTCTATCATCACGTCGTCCATCAGGTTTCCGCTTGGCACTTGTCGAACTGCCTCTTTCCGACACTAAAACCTCTGTGCATACACTTCTAGGCAGTTCTAGACCATCGCTGCGCATCCCGAGGTCTGAAATTGGCGTGTCAGACCAGTCACACGGATCACATTCGCCACATATCTTCCTTGCAAGGAGCCTGTGGCTTCCCGAAATATGTACGTAAAAAGGCGCTGTGACTGGGCTGTAACAATGCTAACTATTGTGTTGGTAGCCGGGTCATCTACTCGCTGTCGTACACTGGTTCTTGCATTGCAGCGGTCTAGACCTTCGACGCACCTTCTCTGTCAGCCATCAAGCAGCTACAGCTATCCCGCCTCGATTACCTGTTGGAACTCACTGCATATTTCCAAGACTTCCGCTCCGCTACTTACATTGCCACCATGACGGAGCCCGTCGAAGTCAGAGACTCCGCTCAGTCCAAACCAGTGCAACTCCAAAACAATCTTGGCCAGAAAGTTGTTACAAATTCGACAGCCGGTAACATCACTAACCCTCCTACACCAGGACCATCACGCAAACATCTGACCTTGGAGCCTTTGAAGAAACTCGATGTGCCTCACCATCCGTCGTATGATAATGCTAGTTCAGATCATCATGTCACTTTAGCCCAGTTCCTCGACGATATTCTCAACGAGGTACAGGGAATCAACTTTGATGAAGGATTTGAGAAGCGGGGAACCTGGAGCCCCGACAATGGACATGTGATGATGCCGCCGCTTAATGCTACGGGAAGCAGTGATATGGTCCCAGTTCCAATCTCGGTCGAGAAGCGCATCAAAGACTTGAACCAAGCCAGTTGGATGGCTAGAACCTCTACGCACAGCAACGCCCATGTCAAATTTTCCGAGTTGGGCGATCTTTTGGCGAAAGATCACAGCCGCAATGAAGCTGCATATACCCCAAGTGTTTTCGATGCTGTTGAGCTATTGAGGTGGGATTCTGAAGAAGCGTTGAGAGCCGTGAATCAACACAAGGAGATACACAGCGTGGAAATGTTCAGTGAGCGCCCTCTTGTACAAAGTGCATGACAGTCTGCACCGTTGCTGACACATCTTAGTATCACAAATGTTCCACATGATGCCCAAGGTAGCCGGGCTGAGTCTACTACAAGATCGTGTCTTTCATGCGTTGATAGTCACGATGAACACGTACAATGCAGATCTTTCCGAGCTCGCTTCGTCTTTTACGGTTCAGCTTCCAATTGATTATGCATCATTTGGCGATGTCAAGATCATGCAAGAGAGGAGTCGAATGGAAACGAAAGGATCTTCACAACTCTACCGGTTTCCGTTGAACACAGGATCAGGCTCAACACCTGACGCGAACCAGAAGCAGCGTCAGGGGAAGAAGCTGACAGAAGGAACCTACGTCTCGTTGGAGAGGCTGATTGGCGCACCGAGAACACGTGGCGATGGGGTCGCTGCGCAGCAAGCAGAGTCGCCCAATAGCGACCGTCATCGTTGGGATATGGTATGTTTCATATTTCGCATTCAAGCTTATGTTGTTAACATGGTACAGATGACGTTGAGTACGGCGGGGGGGATGACGAAAAAGGCACCAAAGGGCATCCAGCAGAAGGAAACATTGGAGGCGATCGCGATGGACGTGGAGTATGTTTTGTCGTACATCGCGGATCAAAGACGGAAGAGCAGCACTTGAATTGTGACGATCGCTGTGAAGGAAACATGTCACATGAGGCAAGGCAAGGCGCCGGGCGGGGACGAACCGCGGCGTGCAGATCATCGCGTGGCTGTGACACCATTCCACTTTCTGCACACTTGAACTTCAGCTTTCAGCCTTACGCTGGGCAGACGAGGCCCAGTACGATATATCTCAGTATCGCTCTCTTGTACTTAATACCTCCATCAATGTCATACGATACACCGCAATTGCCTTCGTGATCGCATTCCAGCGCGTGCCGTCCATGTGCATGTCACACTCGTGGAGAGCCTATTAATACACACAGGCACTTCAGCTGGCATCTCGAGCCAACACTCCCGACCGACACGATCCGCTAACTCCTGCGACACATATTGGCCGGTAACGCGACAAGAAAACACATACGATGCAGAACTACGGGCAAGCACCAGGATACCAGCGGCCAGGCAGCACGACGGGCTTCACAGGACAGCAGGGCGCTCCTCCACCAGTCCCGCCACCACCACCTGGATATGGAGGCATGTTGATCCATAATAGTACACAGTTCCAGAGCGAGGCACTGACATGATGGCACAGCTTCCCAGGGATACCAGACGTCCGCTCCCCCAGCCCACGGTCAATGGGCTGCGCCCACGCCGACACACACGTCGAATCCATGGAACCAATCGCAACAGCAGGTAGCAGGAGGATATAATCCGGGCACATATGGCACCATACCAGGCGTGCAGCACCAATCGTATCCTCCTCAGCAACAGGAGCAACCTCCTCCGCCTCCACCCAAACCCTACGGCTTCGCAGCGGCGGTCCAACGGCACGAACAACAACAGCAGCAGCAGCAGAACTGGTCACAACAATCGCAACCAGGCACCGGCTTTGCGCCTCATACGCAGCAGGGAGGATATCCTTCAACCACACCGGGCGGGACATACTTCCAGTCTTCGCAGGGAGGCAGACCCAGCTCTATTCATGGGACAGGTCAAGTTGGCTCATACCCACCAGGAGGACCTCAGCAACCCACTGCAATCAGCAATCAGAGCGAGCAGCAGCCGGTATACGCACAACAGGGTACACAAGCGTACCCGTCTTCGAACACAAACCCAGCAGCCGGCGCATACGTTTCTCCCCCACCAGAAGCTCCTTCGTGGCAGCAGGCACAGCATGCGCCACCTCAAGGCGGCATGGCCATCTACACGCATACTACACCGCATACAGACACAAACACATATGCACAAGGACATCATGGACTACAGCAGCAGCAGCCGCCGCCTCTACCTCCACGGCATGGCCAACAGGTTGTTTCTCCACAAAACCATCACCAATCTCAGTATGGTCATTCCACGCCCGTCCAATACAATGCGCAATCGCAGATACCCAACCAGTACCAGCAGCCGTCGGGTCAATTCTCACAACCGCAGCAGCATCAATATCAGCAACCGTCGGTCGGGCATCCTTCATATTCCCAAGCTCCGTCACAACAGCCACCCACACAGACAATATATGAACAGTCTCTGTACGACCAACAAGGGCAGCCTTCTCCACAACATCCTCGCCCTCATGACTCATGGCAGTCTGGATCTCCAGCCCCAGTGCCTAACTATCACTACAATAGACCGCAGGCATACGAGTCTCAGCTACCACCCTCGCAAACAGGGTACCAAGCGCAAGAACCAGTTCCACCGCAGCAATATTCCCAGATCTCGAACCAGGAGGGCCAAGAACTAAAGCCTTACAATCGAATCGATACTGCTGGGTCGAACTTCTACCATCAACCAAGCCCGCAGAGTCAGCCTGTGTCTCCGATATCGAACCGGCCTAGTGTGAGCTCCGTCTCTGGCTACCAGCCTATCTCTGGGCGCACCGACTCAGTGAGCTCGATAGCTTTGGCCAACCTCTACGCACAACGCGCAGAAAATGAGACATCTTCACCAAAACCGCCCGAGCCGAGACTACCCGCGTCACCTCCACCCAGAGATGACAAGTCCAAGTTTAGTGTTCTGGCTGCCGGTGCACCTTCTGATTGGGAACACCTAGGTGGCAGTGAGGAAATTGACGATGAAGAACTCTTCGGTGCAAAGAAAGAAGATAAGAAAAGCGACATTACTCAAGCGGAAAGCATTGAGCTGCCCGCCCACGTCCCGTCTCCCGCATCGACGCATGGGTTCCCCAGTCCTGCTGTGCGTCCTGCACACGTGAGTTCGAGCGAATGGGATGAAGGCTTTACACCTACACCGCCGTCTGTGGCAACAGGACTTGCTGGGCGTCAAGATTCGCAGTCATCAGATCAAGGGTCCATCGTCGGATATGCAATTGTCGCGCCCTTACGGACTACTCCCAAACCCATACAGTCTACGAAACCCCCTCATCAGCCTGCTGCGTTGATGACTGGGTCTGGCTCCGCAGAGGGCGGATGGGACACGTCGCAACACACACCTACCCAACCGAAGCATCATTTTGGGTCACAAATCAGTAATGAATCCACCGGCATGGTGTCCTCCAGCTACGACTATGTTATAGAACTGAAAGAGAAGGACGACCTTATCAACCAATTACGCGCAGACATGGAAAGGGAGAAGAAAGAGAAGGATGACGTTCTCCAAAAGTTACACACAGATACAGAACGGGAAAAAGCCGTACTACAAGCGAAGATTGACGAACTTGAAGCTGACAGCCAGAAAGTTGTGTCTGAGTACGAAGCTAAGAAAGCTCACAGCACGAGCGAGATGGACGTGTTACGTGCACAGATTGAGACTATGAGAATCACCACAGACCAAGCTAGTGTCAATTATGACGCTATGGTGAAGGAGAAGAACACGACGATTGACATTCTGAAAGAAGATGTGGAAGGGAAGGAGCACAATATTGAGGAGCGTGATAGTTCTGTCGCTGAACTAAAGCGCCAACTTGAAGCCGAAAAGGCGAAAGAGCCGCCGAAACCCACAGCTGCTGATCTGATACCAGACCTTGATCCGTGGTATATCGGCTCATTAGAGCGATACATAGCCATGCTTCGAAGTGAGGCCGCGGAACCGCAAGTCGAAGAGAAGGTCAAGATTTTCAAGGCGTTCATGAAAGTCGAGTCTGCCATGCGGGCCATCGTCTCCACTGATATCTCAACACAAACAGTTCCAGTGGAGCCAGAGGTACCACACCAACCAGAGCAAGCTGCTCGCTCTCGTGCAACATCGAACATCTCCACCAAGAGACAGGATCTGAACATCCAGGTACCACAGGAGTCTGAATTCGACGACTATGAATATAGTCCTGGTGGCAGACCTATCTTGGCGCGCCAAACTACGATTCCGCCCACTGAAAACTACCAGGGTGTCCCAAGAGCGCCTCCTTCGGTGCAATCAACAACAATTCTGACTCCGACCAGCTCCATTGATGATGATACCAACAAAACGCCAGTGCAATCTCTACCTGAAGAGCAGATACAGCAGCAATATAAGGCATACGTCCCACCTGCTAGCATATCAATTGACCCTGGTCCATTGAGACACAGACCAACAATGTCCTTCTCCAACACTGCAGGAGTAACTTCACCGTCGGGTCGTAGCAACAGCAAGGGGCACGATGAGATATTCTTCGGGGCTCATCAACCGACTGGTCAGACGCCTGCCTCCCGGCCTTCCAGTAGCGATGCAGATGTCCCTTTGCCAGCGCCATTGAATCTGACGCCGCGCCGCCCGATGTCAACTGCACCAACGAAAGAAGATCTGAATAGCGTGCTGAAGGGACTGGTATCCAGAAAGGTGCACTCTGGCCTTCCAAATCACCGGATTCAGGATATAAGGGCAAGGCTCGTTGACACAGGATCCAAATCCAACGCCGCCGAAGAAATTACGAAGACATGGGAGAAGGCTGCATCTCTGAGTCGCCGCAAGAAGGACGACGCCCGTCGCAAGCGTCAAGAAGAGAACGAGGAGCACAACGATGATCTCTTCAACAACAATGAGATATCGTACGCGGAAATGAACCAGCTCGAGGAAGAGTTCAAGCAGAAGGAGGGAGAGCTCAAAGCGGAAGAGGACAAAGAGGAGTATCGTGACTATGTGGAAACAGTATTCGACCCCATCTTCACCGGGCTACACAGCGAGATCAAAGCACTAATGGACTTGCACGTCGAAGCTAAGCGCCTACTATCGTCTTCGGTCACTGAACTCAAGAACATGGAAGGGATCGAGACTCCAAGCACAAAGGACTGTTTCGAGCTCCTGAAAGACATCCACGAGCAAGTGGAAAAGAGACACGACGATGTCGTCCAACTTGTTGCAGAGCGCGATAGACGCTACAAGAAGACAGAGACGCAACCTCTGTACGCCGCTGGCAACATTAGCCAGATGAAAGCCGTGGAGAAGCACTACGAGAACGCCGAGAAGCAAGCCACATTCGAAGCCAAGCGCGAGAAGGCTGAACGTATAGGCGAGCTTGTCCGCTCTGTCGAGGACATGATTGTCAATGCAGCCAGCACTGAGCGAAAAGAAATCGACCATATCGTTGCAGCGATCAAGGATCTTGAGGATGGCACCGGTGATCCGACGGTGCTCGAGGATGCACGAACCGCTCTTAATGCTCTAAAGGAATCATCAAAAGCGCTTCTCTCCCTCTTCAATGCGCTGGAGATTGAATCCAACAACGCTGATATCGACGCGGAGATTGCGCAAGTGACAGCCGATGGTGCACACCCCGGGCGTTTGAGCGAATTGGAGGCTGAAAAGAGGGAAGCAGAGAAAGATTTAGTCGAGGAGTTCCAGAGAAGGGTCAGCGTGCTGGATAGCGATGAGGCTGAAATCGGAGAGTTGGTGCAGAGGAAGATTGGAAAGAGTAGCGAAGGCGCAGAAAAAGAAAATCGATTACGAATGGCGTTGGAGGAAGCGAAGAGGCGGAACGGTCATGCTTGATGATGAGATGATCTTATGTATTTACGAAATGTGGCATTTTCTCATGTCTATAATGTGTTGTTAGGGTATCACAACGGCCCCATCGTCAGATAAAATTCAATCTATGTTACATCCTGACCAAGCTTGCATGCTTAGAGACCACTGTCCTTCCTCTCCCTCACTGGCCTCTTGGGCTTATCTTCTTCCTCCTTCTTCTTCTCACCCTCATCCAAATGCGTCCTCCGATCAATATCCAGCCTCTTCTGGAAGTACTCACCAACACCAAACTCATCATACCGCTTCCCCTCCTCTCTCAGATGCGGCACAACACTAACCTTTGCATCCTCATTCGGGCTAAAGAAGAACGGCATACTATACCTCTCCTCGCCCCCAATATTCCTTACTCTATGCACAGTACTCTGCCACGAGCCACCCGTAACCAACTTGAGGAAATCCGCAATATTGACAACGAACGTGTTGGGTTGGGGATGAACAGGGACCCAGATACCGTTCGCGTTCAGCACTTCGAGAGCCGGGTATGCGGTTTTGGATTGGCACACGAGCGTGAACCAGCAAAAGTCTGTGTGGGCACCGATTCCTACGTCGCTTTGACGCTCTTGGGGTGGGTAGTGGACGGCGCGGACGTTGGTCATGGGGTGCGTGGTTATGGTGTCGAAGTAGTCTTCGGGGAGGTCGAGAGCGAGAGCGAAGATGTGGAGCATGCGTTTGCTGAACTCGAACATGGATTTGTAGTAGCGGTAGATGGCTGGGCGCCAGAAGAGGGCGGAGGGGTGGCTGGGCCATTGGTTGCGCGGGGTTTGTGGTGAGGGAGGAAGCGAGGAGATGAGGGGGAGTTGTTCTGAGTCGGTGAAGTCTTCGCCCATTAGGAAGCCTTCTTTTAGATCTAAATAGTGGTGTCAGAGAGGTGAGATCGTTTTGTGGGTGGAGATAGTGAAGACGTTACCTCCTCGTGTACTTGGGTCGAGTTTGCCTTCTAAGAACGCTTCGTAACCCCTGAACTTCTCCGTCTTTTGGTTGTGAGTCTCCATTTTGACGTCGGTTGGTAACGCAAAGTACTCCTTCAACGCATCGAAGGTGTCTTCTAGTACATCATCGTCCACTCCGTGGTTCACAGCGTAGAAGAAGCCTATGTCTCGACATGCGGCGCCGACTTCTCTGGCTAGCTCTTTCCTGTCCTCCAGTTTGTCCGAGTATATGCGTCTAAAGTCGATTTTTGGTAGTTCGGTGAACGTCTCTTTAGCAGCGGTGCCCTTGAGAACTGGCCTTCGACCAGGAACACCACCATCATGGTAGTGAACCCATGTATCCGCGTACGTCTCCGTCTCGGTAGTAGTAGTCGACATACTGCGATGAAAGATGAACTATCTGCTGCTCAGATAGTCTTGAGGAGTGAAGTCATATAAAGCAGCAAGAAATTGCGAAAGGCAAAAGTGTATACAAAGCCGGTAATCCACTACGGCGGGACGTACCGCAACCTTAATACTCAAGCCGACACTCATCCTACCATAAGCCGAATCACGTCCAGCTGGAAAGAAAACCATCGGCTAAGTTGAAGGCTGCACATGGGCTTCTACAGACCAATCGTGCCAGCCCACGTCGTACAATGAGGCGTAGTGGTCGTAAGCTGGACGAACCACATACCTACGCATAAACGGTGTGGTGTCATCATGCCCAAGATTCCGAGGTTCACGCCCTCGGACAAGAGCGCATGCCGGGGAGGTCTACCGCCGCTCACCGGTCTACTTGCCTACGTATGGACAGTGTGAAGCGGAGCAAGATCCGGAGCAGGTATAGGACCGATGCTATGCATATACGGACCTCGAGAGGGTGCGGAAGAGCACAGTAAGGCTGCTCTATGCGAACTGCCTCGCGTACTCTGTAGTACTGCGTCTGTCTACCTCTTGCGCAAGTCAAGGTACTGTTTCAAAACCCCGTAGATGGCCTCTCTTCTCGACAGTCTCGCATGTCAGCTGGACGCTTGCTGAACTCTCTACGTCACCCCTTACATCCCCCACCAAAAGCATGCATCCCAATGAGGCATTATCTGCAGCCACAGTGTAGCGGTCGGACGACCCTCCATAACGGCAGGACCATACCAGGTGATGGAGGAGCGGCGGACTGCGTGATAGCGTACCGAGCCACCGGACACCGGAGTTGAGCGCGACTGGAATGGGTTGTTAGTTCACCACGTTGATAGAGGGCGGCTCGTATGTGGTGGTGTGCTCGTCAGAATCGGCAGTTGGAAGTGACACATTCGCTCGGAACACCTTTCCTGGAACTTGCATGGCGATGCTGCAGTGTGAGGCTTCGAGAAGGCGCATTCAGACCATGCGCATGACGCTGTCTTGATGGAGCAGTAGAAGGATGAATGCCCCGCTGTGGGTGGACGTCCCGGGTTGCAAATCCCCCGCGCATGACGCTTGCCTCTTGCCGAGGACCCTTTATGGGCGGAATACCTGGCATCGTCCTATCAAAGCATTTCGCGAGTTCTAAAATAACTGACTGCCGATGGTGCTAACGAGAGGAGAAAAGCAAGTATTAGTGCGCAAATCGCATGTAAGCGGTGAAGGGACTGTATGAATGTTGGGATCGGCCGTGTGATGATGTAATACTTGGGCACTCTCAGGCCGTTCGAAGACGCCTGCGTAGTATGCATGGACGCCCAATCAACACACTATCGTGATGAGAAAGCGCGCTATCTCGAAAGAATGGCATAGCAGCCGCATCGAAAAGCTGATTAGCCAAGCATGGCAGTCAACAGGATGATCAAGCAACTGACTACCATTATGCTAGTTAGGTTAGACAAAGTTGAGAATTATAGAAAGATACACCAACTCCTCTGCCCACAGACCAAAAGCCTTGCAATTCCGGGGATATCATGAACCGTAAAAGAGAAACTGAAAGCCTCATCGACTACTCCAGGTAGGCAGCGCAACATATACGGCTACAATGTAGCATGATGCCGTTGACCGTTGGACAGGCCAGACTTATTTCTTGCCCAGCTTGTTCAACAAATCCTTGCCCTTGCCGAGCAGGCCCTTGCCATTGTCCTCGCGCTTTTCATCCTCGCTCTTGCGCTTAGCCTCGGCGCTCTTTCGCTGCGCGGGTTGTCCATCACCGATGATGTTGGCGGCACCTCCACGACCGTAGTGTTTGGGGCCTTGTGGCTCTGGGTGCGGCTTGCTTTCGACGTCTTGAGCAGCGCGCGCAAGTTCAGGACGCTCGGGGTCGTTGCGCGCCATGTTTCCAGTTCCACCTCGGCCCGTGGTGTAGGTGTTGGACTTGAGGGTTGGGGTGACGAGATCTTCTGGCTTGGGGTAGTTGGTAGGGTCGTCCTTTGCGATGTTGCCTACAAAGGTCAGTGGTCGCTCGGAAGTAGAAGCTGGTAAACAATCGTAGGCACTCCAAGGACTGCTTTGGCGATGCGACAGAGGGCGGCAGTCTTTGCGCGCTGTTGTGCGCTGCAAAGTCATACACACTCAGCCGTTCCACTCCAAGCGTCGCGGAGTCGCGCTTCACGTCTGCGGGAAAGTATAGGCTTACCAGCACCTCCGCGCCCGTGCGACGCAACACGCTGGTACTCGTTCGGTCGAGTGGTCATCTTGGGCGAATTGTTGTTGTAATGAGCTTTGGTAGCACGATTGATAGCAGGCTGCTGTTGTAGGAGTGTGTTCGCTGGCGCAAACCGTGAAGTCGCGGCGGTTACTTGGGTACAAAGCGTCAAGGTGAGAGAGATTGAACAAGGCCCAAGTGATGACGCGATGGCAGTCACAACACTTCTTATATTGACCGTGCTCTTGGCTCTTCCGTGAGCAGCAGGCCAGGCGCAAGGACAAGACTTTCAAGGACTGTGCTCCGTTTTGCACGCCAGGAGGAATCGTGGTCGCTGAAGAGCTTGGTGACAAGCACCAGTCGTCTGCTCGCGCCTGGGCACGACGCGCCGGTGGTGCTCATTCTGGTTGACTAGGCGGCACGTTGCTTTCTGAGCCGTGAAAATCTCCATGCTGTGCGCGTGCGTGACTCTGTTTTTGGGTTTCTGTGACTAACGTCTAGTTGCTGCTGCGGGGTCCATAAGCCGAGCACTATGGGCGGGAGAACGTCATGCTCGAGTCGAAAGACGAGATCTGGGAGTCGGTAACGAGGCCATCAGGTGTTTCGAGAGAATGTCCAAAAAGCTGCCTGGAGGTTTGCTTACGACGCAAATGCGCGCATATATGATACACGCACCCACAGGGAGAAGAAGCAAGCATGTAGGCGCGTCCACGCTGTACAGTAATCTCATTATCTATGCCAAGGCTTGGGCCAGGCAGCGTGGGGTAGAGATACAGATACGCGAGCGAACACCCAGTTCAACAATCCCATCAACATTAACTATGCTTCCTCACAGCCCAATTTCATTGCGAAGAGTCTTTTCGAACTTGAAGTTGTGTGATTGTCATAGCCATGGAATGTGGCTACTCATTATCTACTCTATGATACATGTCGTATGGAACCGAATCCAATGTGTCGACACAATGCCCGTCTATCTCGCCTGCAAGGCGCCAAACGAAAACCCGGCTATGAGGTAGCCCTGCTTTCTATGAACGCGCCGTCTATATTTCCAGAAACAAATCGCTGTCATGCTCATTGCACAGTCTCTTATTGTACAGCAAATGAAAGCCCCAAACGCCCAAGATGCAATTGGTGTTACAAAATCATGAAGGAAACCGAAGTCGAAGTAGATGATGGTGTACCGGAAGGACGATGCGATGGTGCTGCTAGTCCAGGGCCAAAGCCGCGAATAGCATGTGGGAGTCGTTGGTGTTGTAGTTGTTTATATCGATCCGGATTGGTTTGATAGTAGTGGTGGAAAGATGTCGAATTGTTCAGCTGGATGAAGGACAAGAGGTATGATCTGGTCCATGTTAGTTTGAGAATGGGCATAGTACAAAGTAGCGGACATACCGAAGTCATCCTCAAGGTCATTAGCCGCCATCGCGAGGTTGGGGCTCAGTTCCTGCCATGGAAAGCAACATTGATGATGATAGTCTTGCGCCTGGGTTTGGTGCACCTCCGTCTCGAGGTTGGGGGTCGGCGTAGGAGGGGTTGTTTTGTTGCTCAAGAAGTCCCATGGTGTGTGGTAGTTGTATATGGATTTGAGTTGGGGTTGGGGCTGAGATGGCTTGCTGATAGGCGTGGCTAAAGGTTGCGGGCTGTGGTTCGTGTAAGGTATGCAGGCAGAGTCAAGGTTGAGATGTGGTTGATGAAGTTTCAAGCCTTCGGAGGCGTTTGTATTGTCTATAAATCTATCCTGAGGCCTGTCGTAGTGCCTCAATTCCCACCAGGAACAGGCAATGACTGCCTTCTTTCAGGCTGTGACGCAGAGAGAGTTGAGATTAATCCGCTCCGGTGATTCAATTGCTTGTCAAAAGAACCATGACTGCGCCACGAGTGAGGAAATTGGAAATGCTCATTGGGTGCGACCTGAGATACAAGGCGATTTCCAGGCTCCCTTCCTTCTAGCGTCCTTCCAGAAGGCTAACAGCCCTGTCTACCTCGATGGTGACTCCTTTAGTCACCGCCGTTTAGTAGCGAAGCCACGGTGTTGAAGCCGAATGACGGGCCAGGGCCCAATCTCCAGGCAGAAAAGCGGTCGGTGGATACCGAAAATGGTGAACTGACGTTCGCTGCCTAGTAGGGCTGGGTGAAGTTTGTGGGCACATGGGTTGCACAGCCGCAGCCCTAGAGCCACACCGCGGCGGGGCGCACTCAAGGCTCCCACAGGCAACTTCGCGATTTGGCCTCTTGATAAGTAGCAGCCCCAAGGTCCTCCAAGTCGCCTCGGTCGTGTCGTTGATGACTCCAGTGCCTGTACTGCTCACCGGAGCAAACACAGCCCGGAGCAGCATTCTCCCGATCGGTCGTTGCCGTGGTGCTGCGCCTCGTGAAGCGATCCCATCGATAGCGCCTAGCAGGGAGGACGGGGGCCAGGGGAACGACAGCCGGATCGCGAGACAAAAGCGACGCGATTGCACTGCAACATTCTGAACAGCTTTTTTCGATGGCAAGAAGGAATGCGAAATCGGTTTTCGAAACAAAGCGTATGGTGCGCCAGCCGAGATGCAGGAGATGGTGGGAGGTTGATTGGTGGTGAAGGCGCAGCCTTTCTTTCATTTGTCGGCCTGGGTAAGCGGCTTTCCTGATGTGGCTGTTAGCGATGGAACTCCATGACCATTCTTTTGGGAAACACTCACGGCCACCATCACAAGGCTGAGCTCCAGAGCCGGGGGTCTTGGGTTTGTACATCGCGGAGACCATGTTGTCGGATTTGGTTGTGATAATGTTGTACGGGCGGTGTTCAGATTGGTGCAGGTGTGCTTAAGAGTGGGTAGAGGTGAGACTTTGTGTGAGACTTTAAAGATTCGCAAACGTTGTTTTGTATGGTAGCGGTGCAACAGGAGTGTCAGTACTTGTGACAGTGGACCGATAGCTGGGACATATATATTTAACTTCTGAAGTCATGGTCCTCCAGTAACTCATGATACTGACGTCTACCTTGGCCGTGTCCTCCATGATCCACGGGGCAACGGACGGGCCATCAGAGGGCACCCGGTACGTGGCCCTTCGGTGCGTATGGCAGGCACAGCCAACTGGAAGTGAAGCAATCGCACATTGCTTCTCTGGGATGACTCTTGGACGGTGTCTGAAAGGGGATGGAACAGGACAAAGCTGTCACCCCCACAATTCAGTGTGAAACAGCCAATCGTGGATCCGCCTCGCTGACCCGGTGTCTCAAAGAATCGTCGACAAGCCTGGCATCCGTGCCTGAATAACATAAGCTGTCGCGCCTATGTGAGGAAGGTCCTGGGGGACTAGAAGCTGCGGAAGCCGAACCCATTCGCTGCTTCACTCTCGCCATCCCTGCACATCGAGGCCCGGGACCCAGCAGCACCCCTTCACAACCTTTCATAAGGTGTTTCTAGATGCCTTCTAGGTGCTTCGCCGAACAGCCGTTATGCCGTCATAGGACAGCGCGTCACCGCGTCTCAGGCCACGCGCGGTCCACCAGAGCCGCATGCGCTGGCGACACAAGATCACGAGGTTCCCGGATGCTGCTCCCAGACACGCTGTCACGTTAAAACGAGCCACGCCGCCAGTGCGCGCTAGGTCTGGATCGGTCGGCCCGCTCTCGGAGACGCAGGTACAGGCCTGGAGGGTGCGCCTACTGACGTCTCGAGAGCTTTCGTCAGCCAGAGAGACGGCCAGCCAGGGCTCCGTTTCATCCCTTTTGCGGATGACACCTGGGCAGAGAGCTGGACCTGTGGCCGTGGACAAGACTGGGAAGTTTACGCGTTCCCAGTGGCCACGCCCTCCTTCGGTGCCCGGCTGCGCCCCAGCGCCCCAGCGCCCTTTACCAATCATCGACACATTGGAAAACCGCGCAGTTGCTGGAACAACATGTCTGGGAAAGCCCTACAGGTCGCCCTGCAGTGCCCCTCAGAGAAGGACTCTATAGTAGCCTTTTGCCTGCTGAAGGACTCTTTGCCTTTGCTCCAAATCAACACGAACTGAGCCTCCAAGGTCCTCCTAAGATTGCCACTCAGCATGCGCTGCACAGCCAGAGGACACAAAGCCTGAGTCGAACACGAAGGACTACGGAAGTCCTCTGGGCCCAGGGGCTATAACCTTTCGGGTACCACGCGCGCCTCATCTTACAATAGCAACCAGATCTGAGACGATCTTAACTGTGAAAACCTTGGCTGGCGAGACTTTGAGTTGGTTTGGGTAATTCCAGACGCGTTGCTTGGCTGTAACTCATGATTTGGGTTGCGCTTGCCGATGCACGTGTTGGACGTTAGCCAGACTGAAGTCTATCCTCAGAGACACTCATCTCGCGGAGGGGAGTCATTATCCTCTATGCGCGCATCTACGATGGATGCACAGCGAGGCGCTTGTGCCGTCATGAAATGTCCGAGTTGAGAATGCCATGGTCTGCACAGTGCATTGGGCTCGCCCCAGAAGAAGCTTCATCTCTGCGGCTTTACTTGCTAGTCAGTGCATCGCCATAGGGTTATGCATCCTCAGGTACAACTGTGGCGGTCGCGCATCGGTGCCTGGTTACTTTCATACTTTGCGCGTGTTGATCTGGTCGCGTGCTTGCCCAACACAATGCCTTGGAGCGTAGCGGCCATCAACACCAGTGTTGCAGTGCCTAGAGGAGAGGTTGGCAGTGAATGTAGTCCACGCAGTCCTGCTTGCGTCATGTTGTAGATTCTAGTTGCCGGGCGATCAATCTTGCGCCATGTTGGATCTATGAGACCCTGCCGCCAGCCGCCAGCGGTCACTGCTCCACCCTCCCAAAAGCTCCCCGCAGCCACCACGCGAAGCATCGCTGGACCCCGATAATGAGAAATACACGCACTCGCATACAACCACCACAGTCTCTACCGTGATATCTGAACCATGGCGACCAAGTCCAACTTTAAGCGGGCGGTGCCCCCGACGCAGCAGTCTGTCCTTGCATCGCTGAAGACCACGCAGTTGGTGCACGATTCCAAAGCTGTATTGCCAGCCGGTAGGAAGACAGTACCATACGAAAACATGCCTCTGACGAAACATCGTAGAGCTCATCAATGCCATCCTCGACTACCTACCCGTCGCCGACATGTTCAGCTTCGCGCGCACCTCGAGACGCATGCGCGAGATGGTATACGACGATACCAGGTGGATTCAACGACTTCGGAGCATGGGCTGCTGGAATGAAGCCGAAGCCAAGCAAAGATTCGAGGAATCCATGCGGAAAAAGCTCGAGGCACAAAAAGCGGAGGAGGCCCGGAGGTCTGGCGTTGCACTCAATGGCAGCACCAACGGGATGCCACCAGGGGACGACATACCTGGCAAGACAAGCATGACGCTGTTCGATGCCACCATAGAGGAGGATATGCTGCGGAAGTCTCAAGAACACCGAAGTAGACCCCGCGCTACCACGCTGGACAAGGGCTTCAACGACATGACATTGTCACCTTCCGGGACGTTGGCACAAAGCTCGTACGCGGTGGATCCACAGGCGGCTGTCAAGGTCCTTGCGAATGTACGCTCGATTCGAGGCATGGCGCGGCAGGAGTACGGCAAAGTCTACGGAGCGCTGGCCCCGTTCTACTACGACTTGGAGAGGTCAAGAAGTCATACAGACCCTATTCTATTTCGGACCTACCGCGATCCCGAGCAACAGGCTCAGATGCTGGCGCAGCTTAAGATATTTGCAAAAAGTGATTACGCGCAAGGTTGGAGCCAGCGCGAGGAGAAACTAGACACAATGACTGGCATCTTCGAGAACGCTGTACTCCGCGAGTTTGAGCAAGGCTATGCTGAGAAAGACTTTGACGGACGTATGAAGAGATTCGCTACCGTCCTCGTCGCTCTAAACGGCGGCGCGGCATGTTTGGACTCTTTTATACACAATCACCCTTTGATGTTGGAGAAAGAGAAGCTCGGTGACCCTGCAGATTGCCTACGCAACGAAGTGCTGACACTGGAACCATCCCACGAGTTTTTCAGAGGATTGGCCAGTGCGCTCAACGAAGAAGCAGACATTATCGATCGTGTCTTTCCCCCCACTGTCGACGTGCTACAAACCTTCTTTGAGCGCGTTGCGGATGACGTCATCGCCGAATATCTCACGACTTTGTTCGACGAGGCCCACGATGTAAGCATCGAAGCATATCTGAAAGCAGTTGCGGGACTCTATGAGCAAGCACTGCAACTTGCAGTCTCGTTACATCCTACCAATGCATCGAAGCCCGATTTCCGCGACGAGGCCATGCGCATCGTGTCTCGTTGCTTTGAGCAACACATCGACCTTTACCTACAAGAGGAATTAGATTACTTCAAGCGAAAGTCAGCTGCAGAGGTTGACCTGTGGGAGAAGCGTTTGATGGAAGAAGAGCAGAGCACCGAAACTTTATACATGGCCAATGTCAACAGGAAGGCTGTTAAACAAGACTTTCTATCATCCTTCAAGAAGGTGGTCATGATGCCTGTCAATGTACTCCCAGCTATTGGCGGCTCCAGTGCTAGCAAGCCCAACGAAAGCGCGACTGGCATGAACGGTACTAATACTTTGGACCCTACCTCAAGACTCGGCACTCCTCTCTCTGGCGAACGTTCGCCTACACCACGAATCGAAGCCCCAACCACTGAACTTGCCGCCAAAGCAGCAATCATGAACTCGCGTTTAGAGGGCATCAGGTCGCTGTTTAGCATCGAAGTGGCGCTGAACCTGACACACATGGCCAAGTCTGGTTTGGAAAGAGCCGCGCGGTTTGTTAGACTTGGTGGCCAGTCTGGTGAAGAGGCGAAGGAACAGTCTGAGCAGATCTTCATCAACCTAGTCCAGATTCTCGGCAACCGCCATATGAAATTGGGATTCGACAAGGCTGTCAGTCATTTGGCTGACTACAAGCCGCGAGAAGTCGCGGATCATAGTAAAGAGGGCGTTGCGCCACTGGTAGCCTTTTTGGAGCTGGTCAACGTTGGCGACTTGATACAACAGATGGTTGAGGTGTTCTATCTCCAGGAGCTTGTGGCTGCCAATCTTACCGACCGCGACGATTTCCTAAGCCTTGCCGCAAAGGAGAAGAAGCGTTTTGAGGCCATGTTGGATGAACGCGTCGCCGCAGGTCTCAACAAAGGTATCGATGTGCTGATGGACGAAGTGGAGTATCTCTGCGGCACTACACAACATCCATCCGACTTCAACCCTCCCGTTGGGCCCAACGGGCAGGTGCAGATGTCCGACATTGGACCTAGCCAAACGGCAACGAAGATTGTCGAAGTCGTCTCGTCGCATACAAACATGCTCATCGGCAGCACGGACAAAAACGTCCTAGATGTCTTCAACCAGGAAGTTGGCGTGCGCTTGTTCACTGCTCTCTGCAAGCACTTAAAACGTCAGAGGATCAGTGTGGATGGCGCCATCAAACTCATCAGGTATGACACAAGCCCCATAGACTTCGACATGAACTAATTCCAGCAGTGACATGAATGCATACAACGCTTACATTGTATCGCTGCGCAACAAGCCCCTTATGCAGTACTTCGCCGCGCTTCGCGAACTCTCTCAGATATATCTCATCGACGCAAAGGAAGCGAAAGAGATTGCTACCATCATTGCCGACACAGATAGATATCACGGCATATTCCGAGCAGAAGAAGTGTATGAGTTCGCGGAGAGACGAGCGGATTGGTATCAAATTAAGAGTGCGGTGGAAAAGCAAATGTATGGAGTAGGATGTCTGGTCATGTGAAGTTGTTCGCGGCGTCAACCATGGAAGTGGCGTCGACTCGAATCCAAGGTTGAAAGCGAGGCTGTTGGACCCCGACTAGTGGCATACATAGATTACCGCATTTGGCATGGAAACCAACAAATACGCAGCTTGCAGCTTGAGCAGGCGATGCGATGCTTGACGCAAAACCCATACCTTTGACAATCGCGCGCGTGCAAGCACTGTGAGGGCCAACAAGAGTGTCGGGGTTGCTTTTCTTTGTCGGATCGAACTACTTAGATGGTCGTGGTTCCCAGCCTCCATCGGCGTACCTGAGCTAGACGGCGCCCGTGCATTCGACTTCACACCTCATCGCGCATACTGCAACGATCCATGAACCTTAGTTCTGTTCACCTGCCCCGTTCATCTCCACGCCAGCACCCAACCTACGCTGCAACCATTTTCTAAATTTGAGCCTCTTCCCACACGAGATTGCTGTCGCTTCCAGTGACTGCACCCCACTACGGAACTACCCTTTTGAGGCGCCCGACCTACTTGGCTGCCCGGGCACCTTCGCTGGCCCTCTCTCACCCGTCTTGGAGTTTATTGCGCGACGACACTTACCGATCGATACGTGAGAGACTGGCGACATTTCCGCCATACGCGACGCTCTCTACGTATCTTCTGCATCTACATCATAGGTCCCATTGGTGGTTCCGCGACCCTGGTACCAACCGCGGTTCTTTGCACGACATAGCCACCACGAACATCGCAGCTGCATCGGAGCTCCGCGATAATTTGTGATTCGGAGACTGGTCCCCGCGGCGACCAGCTCTCTACCTACAGCGTCTACCTTTGCAAGTTCTTGCTGTCGAGACTTGAAATATCGCAGCCATGGCAGGTAGGTGCCCGCTTGCCGTCCGCTACGCGTATGTCTACATTCTAACGTGTCACAGCAGACCCTCTCCCCGCCGAAGTGCAAGCTTCCTACTCGGTCATAATCGACGAGATCCTACGCGCCAGCGACATCAACACCATTAGCGCAAAGCGCATACGAAAGGGTCTACAAGAGAGAGTCGAGGATGACCTTTCACAGCAGAAGGTTTGAAGCACAACATCGCATGCAACAGCATATACTAAGACTTGCAAATAGGCCCAGATCACCGCGCTCATTATGCAGCGGTTCGACAAGTTCAACAACGAGCAGAATGGCGGTTCCGAGGTTTCTGAACCTATACCCACAGTCGAGAACGGCGCAAAGGCCTCGAATGACGATACCTCCGACGTCTCCCACAACAAGCGATCGCCGCCCGATGACGAGTCCGCGCTGTCTGAGGTCGAAGATGTTGCGCCTCCTAAGAAGAAGGTCAAGAAGACCAAAGTCACGGACGAGGATGACGATGCTGCATTCGCGGCGAGATTACAAGCTGAGGAGAATGCGCGCATGGGCAGGGCGACACGCGGTGGCAACACAAAGCGGAAGGTAGCTGCGCCGAAGAAAACCAAGACCAAGAAGAAGAGCTCAACCCGGATCAAGGATGAAGATGACAGCGACATCGCATCAGGTAGTGGAGGTGAAAAGAAGAGCCCGAGTCGGAAAGGAGGTTTCCATGTAAGTCAACCTCATCTAGTTTACATCACCACCCCAAGCCAAAGCTAATCACACCCAGAAACCCATGGCTCTCTCCCCAGCCCTCTCCGAACTCCTCGGCGAAACCCAGCTCTCGCGCCCCCAGACCGTTAAGAAGATATGGGAGTACGTCAAAGAGCGCGAGCTACAAGACCCTGACGACAGGCGCCAAATCCGCTGCGACGACGCCATGCGTGCAGTCTTCAAACAAGACCGCGTCCACATGTTCACCATGAACAAGATTCTTAACCAGAATCTCTATGCCGTCGACGAGGTCGTCAACTGATCCGTCTGGTCCAGCAACTCATCATACTTTGAACTACGCTTCCCGAACTATATATATCGGGCAAGCGGAAGAGCAAGTAAATCTAATCTACACAACCACATACTGCATCCCACAAACCCCCCATCCGTCCTCTTATCACGACAATATCACGAACATCCGTATCCGTCCGCGACAGTCACCGACGCTCAGAGTCACCCGTCGTCATCGTTTTCCTCAGTCTCACTTGATTCTAGCAGCATGGCGCATTCCTGGTGTTTTCCTCGTTCTTGGTTTCCAGAAGCGCGCATCTTGGCCCCCTCCCTTTGTGTAGGGGCTGGGGTACATGGGGTCTTTCTTCGTACTATTGTCTTTGCGTAACCTTTTCCTTGAACCAAAACAAACTGGATGGATGGGTCGGGGAAGGGAAGGGAGGGCAGAATGGGTATATGCTTGATAAAGACAGGGGCAAATAGTTTATGGGACTAGAGGAAGGGTCGCTTCCTCTGTTCGACGACGTTTGCTACATCTTAATGAAATGCTATTATCAAATGGACAGTCTGTTGTCGGTGATTTTACATTGGTGGCATATGACTTGATGTGTAGTAGTGACAGTGAAACGTGTGGTGTTCAATACAAGTACAACCATGCTATGTATTATGCACAGTAAGCCGCCGTGATAGCATGTAGACCCAAATAATCATGCGCGTATAAAGCAAAAGGTATCCAATACCGGTACTCCATAACCCATTAACAGCACAGTGACGAACAAAGTGGTCATCCGCAGACACTTTAATTTCCCCGTTTCAAACTGTCCATGTCGGCTTAGAAGCCTTCAGGGAGTTGAAGCTGGAAGTTCTCGTGGTCTTCCTCGAGGGGATCTTCACCATGTAGTTGCGTGCTGAAGCTGTTCATCCACGCGTCGTCGTCCTCGTCGTCGGAGCGTGACAGAAGCAACAACTCCATTTCACGCTCTACATCTTCAGCTGTGTGGCGGGGTTGCTCTTCCTCTTGACCTGTGACAAGTGTGGCATTGGTGGAAGTTGAGCTGCAGCGAGACACTGGGCCGCGACCTCGCACGGTACCAGTGTTTGTGCTGGCACTGCGGATGTGCGTCGAAGAGGCGGGTCGGGGGCCAGCGGAGAAAGGAGCGGGCTTGGTGACGTTGGAGAGAGGCTTGCGTGCAGCTGGGGCTGCGCGTCCGGCGCGGCCTTGGGCGTAGCCGATGGTGCTCTTGGAGGCTGCTATGGCGGATGCTTGACGGGATGCTGTGAGCTCAGTGGGGGTCTTTGCTCCCTTTCTGCCTGCCACTAGTCCCGTGGGCACACGCGACTTTACAGCTGCAGTGGGAGCTGCGTAGCTAGGCTTGGACGGTGGAGAGAGTGCGGCGGCGGCAGATCTGGCTCGCATGGTCGATGGTCCGGTGGCCGCCTTCCTGAGGGCAGCAGATGCTTTGGGGGCTTCCTTCTTGGGCTCCCTGATACCGTAGTACTCCTTCGTCTCCGCATCGTCCTTGGCCATCTGTGCCGCGAGTATTTTGTCCATCTGCTCATCACGCTTCTTCCGACCCTGCTCTATCTCTTCCTCGAACTTGCGCTGCTCACGCGTCCTTCCGTCGTCCTCAATTGGATTGTGGTAGGCTTGCCAAATGCCGCGGACCATGTCCTGGTTACTGAGCTTGGGCATGGTCCAGTTCTTGGGTAGGTATTCGTCCATGTCATCTTCGAGCGGGACCTCCTTGGGGGGCATGTATTCGATCTCAGGCACGTCATCTTCGGACTCTTGCGCGACTTCCGGCTGGTGGACCTTGACTTTGGGGCGGCGCAGGCGAGGGCTGAGTTTCTGCGTCTTTGCGGAGGAGAGGGGCGCTGGGGTTCCAAAGGGCCTGGATTTCGCGTTGGTCGTCTTCATGCCCAGCGGCGCGCGCGTGCGCGGACCTAAACACGTCAGTTGTCGCTTGCGCAGTCTGCCATGTCTCCTCTTACCGGCTGGCGTCACAAAGGCATTCTGGTCGATCTTGCCGCCCTTGTTGGTGGTGAAGAGCTCGTTTCCCTTGCCCTTGGTCTGCAGGACCGACTTGCCCGCTTTGCCCACGGCATTTTCGTCGTTGAGGGGGATCTTGAAAGGCGTCTTGGGGGCTTTGTTGCCGGGTGTTTTGGCGTTGAAGCCCTTGAGGCCGGCATTGAGCGACTTGCCCGCCGCGCCGGCGTGCAGATGGCGGACGGCGTTCTCCTGGTCGTTTGCTGCGAGGGTAGCCATTCTGGGCGTTACATTGAGCGAGTCGTGCGGCTATCTCTATCGGGTGTTGGCGATGATGGCATGCGATGTTCGCGGCCAGTGTTTACGGCCGGTTGCTAGGGCGGCAGCAAAGAGGGTCTGGGCTTCGCACAGGGTCCGGGCGGAGGTAGCGCCTGCCCGCATTATCAGCTTGCCCATCCGCTTGCAGGAGACAATTCTTACAACAAAGCACCACCGACCCGCCGCCTTACCACATCCCTACATAAGCTGCAGCTCTTTTGCTCTCCTCACCTGCAAACACCACACAAACACCAGTCCCCCGCACCACACACCTCTCGCAGCTATGGATCAGATCAAGAAGGTGAGTCCACGCATACCCCGCCAAATCCCCTTTCTTTGGTACCCAGTCCACAGCCGACGCCACAATGCACGCCTGTCGTACCAAAGCAGCCGCTGACATGACATTCTGCACAGCGCATGGAAGCTCTCCGCGTCGAGGCGGATGAGAGCAGCGCCCGCGCCGAGGAGTACAAGGCCAAGATCAAGCAGCTCGAGTCGGAGACGACACAGAAGGAGCAGGAGATCACGTCGCTGACGCACAAGAACTCCGTTCTCGAGAGCGAGGTGGAGAAGCTTGAGGGGCAAGTCAAGGTCCACAAGGACGAAGCTGGTGCAGGTGCTCAGGCCGGCACCCAGGCCGAGAGCCTCCAGCGCAAGATCCAAGTTCTCGAGGAAGAAGCTGAGGAATCGGACAGGACTATCCGCGAGCTTAACGAGAAGTACGTTCATTCACCCTCTGATTCCGTTGCTGTTCCCCTCTCCTATCTTTCCTCCACGCTTCCGGCCCCTGATCTGCAGCCACTGACACGTCACCCTCCAGGCTCCGCCAAACCGACGTCAAGTCCGGCCACT